ATCGAACTTACGACGCACAGTGTTTCGACTATATGGAGGCAGATAGAAAAAAAGTCATGGTGATAGTTAATAAAAAAAAAAAACACCAGTTCGACTTAGAGAGGGAAAAGTAAAAGTCACAAATACCACATTTCACATTATTTACTCACTCCCCTTCTTCACGAACGATACATTTCCAAAGAAATACGGGAATCGGCGCGATACCGAGTAATCAGTTAAGTTGCCTTTGGCGATTAACCCATTAAAGAAAATTTTTCTTTTTCAACCATAATCCATTATTTAAATATCGTGGAATATTCAGGTGAAGGTATTTATCATTTATTTGGTACTTTCCTATTTTCTTACCAAAAAATTTGCTTTGAAATGTAGATGCTAAAGATTATTAGTAAAAAAAAGTGAGTACCGGTCCGAGGTCTTGAAATTAGACAAATTTTTAGAGAATTTTATGTAATTTTAGAATATATAATTTGATCTTTGCGCGCGACTTTGCAAATATATGTGATTTTTGATTTTCAAAATTTTTGATTTTCAGCCTCTTTTTGCATAATTTCGCGAAAAGAATTTTTCGAACAATGAAAAAATCTCACCCAACATTGGAAAAAAGCGAGTATTTGCACCTAAGTCAATTTATAGTATAACCTTTGTTTTCTGAGAGTGAAAAGCAGGAAACAAAAATTTACCAAAATTCCATCACATTTAACGACTGGTCCCACATTTTTTGTGATTTTTGGACGTTATAGTGATCCAATCTTCCCATATTTCATATTGAGGTTTTTCTAATAAAAAAGTGAGCACAAACTAAATTTCATCGAAATAGGATGAAATCTAATGATTCCGCCCACAAGAGTAGAAGGCGTGGCAATCGTTCCATCTTTACCAAATTTCATAATTCCCTATTTCTAAGTAAACCTAGAGCACATGTCAAGTTTCAGTGAAATTGTTGCCGGTTTACTATTATTTCCACCTGCCTCCATATAGTCGAAACACTGTGTGACGGCATGCATTTCTATTCTATTTATAGGAAGGGTAAAGGAGTGGTAAATAAATACAGGGAAATACATCCATATGTAAGTATATTTCTAATTGAATTACAGATAGTTTGAATTGAAAAGTATTAAATCTTCCTTTTAATGTGACTACAACCTAACAACTTTTGAAACATCGGAAACCATCGATATATCGATGTTTTTCTGGCGATGTATTTTAGCATCGATATTAATTTTTCCGATGCATCGAAACATTGATGTATCGATGTTACTCCCCAAAATTTGCATCCCTAACCGGAAGTAGTGATAACCAGACATTGAACAACCGGCCCTTAAACCCAAAAACAAAAAAAAAATAATTTTAGGGTTGTTCACTCTCGGAATCGGTGTGCCATCGATGCGAATGTCTAATTAGAGCCTGACCTTCTTCGTCCAGGTGGTGAAGAGGGTCGCCGTTGATTTCGTTCCGGCACTTTTTAAACAGGTGGCCACCCTCTTCAGGCACCTCAAAAATATTTTAATTGTGTTTCTGTAAGCTCTTTCTGTACTGTATAGTATTTTAAGCGTAAGACTTTTGTATAATTTAACTAAATTTTACTTTTGAAACAGGTGGCAACCCTCCTACATTTAGCTAGAAAATACAACTTATTCAAAACCATTTCTTTTGATACCCATATTGGGATAATTCGTTTAACTTAATAAATAATTTGAATTTGATTTTCGTATATATGGCAACCCTTTAAAAGACTAAAACCATACTGCACATCTGCAGTTCAAGCCCTTTCATGTGACACCTCATTTTTTAAAATCGAACGAACGATACAGATTTTATGACGTGATGTTAAATATTTAACGCAATCCTCTGCGGCAGAGAAATTTTGAATTCGATTTTCTAACGTGTGGCAACTCCTTTCATGGAACTAAGGCTATGGTGTACACCCGAAGGACAAGGCCTTTCATGTGACACCTCATTTTTGAAAATCGAACGAACGATACAGAGTTTATGGCTTGGTGTTAAATATTTAACGCAACAATCTCCGAACTCGATTAAGAAGTTTCACTTCAATAAAAAAATAAAACTGAACTCGTATTGAATCCTGAACGTCTGCTCTGAATACCATTTAATACCATGAAATTTAAAAAAGGGACAACGTAGCCTCTCGCTGACTTACTCGTATTTGCCTAGCTTGACCAATCCGCACAGGTTTACTTATGCCACACTGTAGTTGAGCCATATGGAATGAAGATACAAGACCGAAAACTTCCATAATACCATCAGAAATAGAGTTGTCTATCTTAGCATTTGAATCTGAATTACTGAGCTCTGCAAGATATATTAGTACACTCTGAAAATGTTATTGAAATCTCGATTAAAACATACCACAAAGTTTGCAGCCTGCTCCCCAAGAATCAATGTTAAGGAAGATAATCGATTGCAGTTCAGGCAGCTCGGCAAGATGACCGTCCAAATACAGATCCAACTTTTTTTCAATTCGTTCACATTCACGTTGTACTATTTGTTGAGTACCGAAACCAAAATAAATTAGCTACAATTACAAAATGCAACTAATTTAATTTTTTGGTTTTTGATTATTTTAAAATCAACTCTTGGATTACCTTATTAAAAATACGACTACTTAATACGTAAAATCGAGATTCTCGGGTTTTATGAAAATTATAAGTGACCAACGCATCCACTCCAATACTGAAGTAGTTATAAACATGTATCGTTTTGATTGGATGTCGTTGAATAGGCAGTCTATAATGTAGTCTTTCAACTTGTAAGTCGAAACGATCTAAATTTACTGATCGGGCCCGCTTAATCTTAAAATATAAACAATTTTTAAATTTTTGGAATGTTTTAATATAAGTGCTAAAAGCAAACATACATTTCTGAGGATTGCAACCGGATCTAAACTTGCAGGCGGCTCTGGGCCCCAACCCATCACTCTTGAAAGATCGTTACCTGTTCCCAATGGCATTATAGCAACAGAAGGTATAGGCTACAAATATATGTATTTTATTCATTTTGAGCAAAAATATTCAAATATGCTACCTTTATATTGAGAGCGTGGATTGTGTTTAATACCCAACCGACAGTGCCATCTCCTCCTGCTACCAGAATGCGACAAGGCCTTGGAGTAGCCTTCGCTGCCCATTGCATGGCATCTTGAGGACCGCGAGTACCCAGTTCCATTACTTGCAGAGGGTGGAGATAACCTCGCAGCAAAGATACAACATCTGAACCTGTACTGCTTCCAGATTTTGTATTAGCAATCACTATTAAAGGCTCCCAACTTTCAATGTTAGGTGGTTTAATGCCAGCTAAATGTAATCGTACCGACTCGCGAGTGCGCGCCGCAACAATACAATACGGTGGAAAGATCATGTCCCGAAATTCACCCAAATCACACTCTGATCGTGCATCTATATTTTTATAGCAGTTATTGTGATAGCAACGATGACACCATGCACATCGCCAACCAAATAGGCCTGCGGTGGCGTGATAATCGATTTCGTCCCTACATGCAACGCAGACTACTCCAACGGGCAGGTTGCCACGAACCCATAGATGACGCATCGATTTTTCATTTCGAATCCATTTATCTTTGCAGCGATAATTGTTGTCTATTTCTTTGGTGCACATATTTGCGGAATGAGAACAAACACCACAGCAATCACAGAAGAGACCTGCCGAAGAGGTCAAAAGGATCTCACATGCATTGCAATAACAGACCTGTAGAAACGCAAAATACTTCAACTAAGCAATGTTACTTTTATACAATTATATGTAGATACAGTCATCTGGATATTGTAAACTAGCCTTTTCGAGTAGCTTGATAGATTTCCAGCTATGTTTCGTTTTCCTTGGTATGAAAATTACGTCCTCCAGTAATAAACTGCGACAAAAAGCGAATAACGCACATAATGCTAGTAGTGATCCAATTAGCGCTTCGGAACTTAATTCAAAACTGGTGAGTTGAATACTCATGTTCTTGTTTTTATTTTACACTGCATTTGCACCTTTGGACACTTCAAAAATTAATTTTGAGGAAGACTTAATGTTTTTGTTTTTTCATTCCGATTACATTAAAAACAACGGCGAATTTATACGCTTTGGCAAAGCGAATTTCACCTTGTATAAATTCGCTTTGTTGAGGGTGGTGTTCAAAGCGAATTATATGTACGCTGCAGTTATCAGATTAGGTTCGTTACGCACGCTATAAAAATGGGTATTAGAGAGCGAATGCGTTCTACTTTTGGATAGTAAATTTCTTCTTCGTGCCCGAAACCGCCCGGACTAGGTTTGTTCCACACACTTTCCGGGCTGTTTCGGTAATTAGGGCGTAAAAATAAGTTACTCTCTCACAAGTGTTAAGAATAGCTTTGTTCCAAACGCTTTCCGGGATGTTTCTTTAATAACAGCGTAAAAATAAGTTACTCTCTTACAAGTGCCAAAAATGTGTCAACATTTGTCAAAAGTGCCCAGAGCGTGAGGAACGCAAAAAAACACATTTCGGGCCCGGAATCAGCAAATCGGCTCTAAACAATAATTTTATGTGTATTTATCATACATGACGAATAAAATTAGCAAAGAAATACATTTCTTGAAACTTCTCTGGTATTTTCCATTTCCGCAAAAGCTGTTATGGCAATTTCACTTTTTGCACATTTGCGCCCGGAAAAAACTCCGGGCTGTTTAGGGCATGAAGAAAAAGACATTTACGATCCAAAAGTGGAACGTATTCGCTCTTTATTACCTTTCCTTCCTTCCTTTTCTTTTGTACGTGTTTATTAATATATCTGTACTGTGATGTTTTCGGAGGGTACTAGCTCTTACTGCCAATATAGAAGTATTACATATATGAGAGGAGCTCTACATGTACATTGGTAACTAGGTAAAAAGTTCTGTAACAGATTTTGGATCGCTTATTAAAAAATGGAAACATATATTTTTGAATCTTAAGAAATCAAGGCAAATAGCAAAATCGGCTAAAAACGGCTATTTTTTTACAAAGCGGCTAACAAATCGGCTGCCGGCTAAACCGAAATTTCTCGGGCTGTTTGCTATCGCAACCGACTAAATCTAGCCGGCAAACGGCTGGAAAGGCAACACTGTTGGCAAGTTACTAGATATTTCTTGCTGGAGGATACGAAACACAACTTATGTCTTACTATGTACTGGAATAAACTAAAAAATATTAATAATTGTGAGTATTTTTCATATACATTATTTTTTCGTTATTTGAAGGCCAAAATCTTACTTTTTTGATTTCAGAATAACTCAGCACAATAAAAAAGATTACTGATTGATCATTTTTCTGAACCAAAGTACTCTTGTGTATACGTAGTACCGACTTTCTTTCATTTCCGACGGATGTAACCACTTTGTAAAAGCATCGGTACGCTTACGAGCAGGAATGGAAGGAAAAGTTTCGGCTATTTATGTATTTGTATCTATGCTATTAGTTCGTCGCTAACGCTTAGCAAAAGTATAGATTCGTCGGATGAAATAATTATATCTATACAAAGATCATTAAATACAAATAGCGTGAACCCTTGACAAACTTTGTTAATGCTTGCAAATTCGGAAAAGAATAGTACAGGTATACAATATACAAATTTTAATACATGTGTATATAATTTCTACTATCTGTTTATTTTTTGATTAGCATCACAGAGCTCTGATAATGGTA